TTTTTTTTTTTTTGGGTTCCCATCCCCAACCTAACCCTTTCTAAAATTCTTATCCCCCCCCCCCCTGTATCATTTTTACACAATTCTTAATATTTAAAAAAAAAGGGTTCACTGAAATAACTTAAATGATTTTTACAACACTTTTAATGAGCGCTTATTTTAAATTGAGACTTGAACGATTCTCCTTTTGAAATACAAGTTAAATCTTAAATCATAGTAGAAGGCAGATTTTCCAAAAGCTAGACAGCTCATATTGCGACTTGCCCCCCTGTGTTGTAAGAATGGTGAGATTTGTGTTGTAAGAAAGGTGAGATTTGTGTTGTAAGAATGGTGAGATTTGTGTTGTAAGAATGGTGAGATTTGTGTTGTAAGAATGGTGAGATTTTTTGAGTTGTAAGAATGGTGAGATTTGTGTTATAAGAATGGTGAGATTTGTGTTGTAAGAATGGTGAGATTTTTTGAGTTGTAAGAATGGTGAGATTTTTGTTGTTGTAAGAATGGTGAGATTTGTGTTGTAAGAGATTTGTGTTGTAAGAATGGTCAGATTTGTGTTGTATAGCTATAGCTAATAAATCAAAAGATTTGTTTTTTTTTAATGGCATATATTTATACAACCATTTGTCAAAAAATTTGCCTAAACTTTGTTTACTTAGCTATAGATTTTGAACATTGTATTTTTTGTTTATCGGTTATAGATTTTATTATCTCACAAAAGTATTAAGACCTTTGCACCATTTTAAATCTCTCCTCGCCCGGGCCGCCTCTGTAATCAGCATGCTCATTGTGAATGCGCCAAAGACGAACAAAAACATATAAAGACTCAATAGATTTCAGGTGTCCTAAAGCATAAAATAACTACTAAACAACAGGCACAGAGGTCCCTCGTTTCATGTGGCTCCTTCCGTCACTGCCACCTGATCCCCTTAATTAAAAAAAAACATTTTGGCCCATAATTTTGGTATCCATGTGACGTAGGCGACATTACTCTAAAGACAAGTTATTGTCAATAGACATTACCCATAAATAAAGGTTTAGACCTTGGGCATATGCTACATCACTGTAACGAAAGGTCATTGTCAATAGACATTGCCCATAAATTAAAGTTTAGACCTTGGGCATATGCTACATCACTGTAAAGAAAAGTTATTTTCAATAGACATTACCCATAAATTAAAGTTTAGACCTTGGGTATATGCTACATCACTGTAAAGAAAAGTTATTGTCAATAGACATTGCCCATAAATTAAAGTTTAGACCTTGGGCATATGCTACATCACTGTAAAGAAAAGTTATTTTCAATAGACATTACCCATAAATTAAAGTTTAGACCTTGGGTATATGCTACATCACTGTAAAGAAAAGTTATTGTCAATAGACATTGCCCATAAATTAAAGTTTAGACCTTGGGCATATGCTACATCACTGTAAAGAAAAGTTATTTTCAATAGAC